AGGGAGCCCGATGTGGGACTCCATCCTAGGACCCTGGGATCATGACCTGAGTCAAAGGCAGACGCTTAATTGACTGAGCCACCCAGGTGTCCCCAAATTATGCAGTTTAAATGTGTGGCATTTATTATATGTAACTTCTATCTCCTTAAAGCTGTTTTCCAAGAGTCATGCTGGCTACGGTTTGGAGAATGGATTTTAGGCAGTAGGTCTAACTGCAAGGGGGAGAAATGCATATCCCTCTCTCTAAACATGTAATTCCTTCTTTCCCTCATGTTCTTCCTGGTTTACGAGCTCAGATGATTAGAGTAACATGTGATGACATTTTCCTTCTTTTTCCTCTGTTAGACGTTTCTCTAAAATACTATAGCTAAGGGGCCACGTGAAAGCAGAGGGGTCGAGTAACCTTTTCTCCTTGCTGAGCCCTGCCTTGCAAGGACTCACTTCTGTCTCTTCTCTGTACCTGCTACAGCTCACACTCACAGTGGGCCCACACCAGATGTGGGGGCTTTCCCACACCCACCACCTCTCTGACACCAGCGGGCTGTCCCAAGGTTCCATTCAGTTCTGACACTCTCTACCTGTGGGTAGCATAGCCCCCATAGACCAAGGGCTCAGTCCACAAGACTGCCCTCACATCAGCTGCCATCACAAGTCCAGGTGGTCACCTGCACTTCTGACCGGCTGCCTGTAAGTCAGAGTCCCCACGGTCCCCTCCTCGAGCTCCATCATTCGTTAGGACAGCTCATGGACCTCAGGGACACACGTCTACCATCTTATTTTATAATAAAGCATGTGCTAAAGGATAAAGAAGAACAGCTGGATGAAGGGCTGCATAGGGCGAGGTCTGGGAGGGTCGTGAGCACGGGAGCTTCTGCCCTGTGGAGTTGGGGGGTGCCACCCTCCCGGTACGTGGATGCATGCACCAACCCAGAAGCTCTCTGAACCCCGTGCTTTGGGGATTTTTATGGCAGCTTCATGTAGGCATGATGGATCATTAACTTCTTTTCCAGCCCCTCTCTCTGCTCTGAAGGATGGGGGTGGGGGCGAAAGTTCCAAGCTTCGAATCATGGCTTGGTCTTCCTAGTGACCAGCCCCCATCCGAGACGTTCCTATCACCAGGAAATTCCAAGGGATTGTGTCAGGAACTGGGGTCAAAGACCAAATATTGGAAGGAACTGGGGACAGAGGCCAATGTATATGTTTCTTCTTATTTCATAAGCCGGAGTCCATCCCCAGCCCTGGGCACTTAGTGAACTCAGTGCAGGACCGCAGGTGAGATCGGTCAGCTCTCCTATCAGAGGTGGCAGATTCCAGGTTCCTGCGTCCTTGGCTGACCATTACCCGAGGGCAGTCACCTTGCTTCCCGTCCCATGGCCAGCATCTAGAGGGAGCCTGGTTCTGAGCCAGTGACAGAGAAGCCACTGTGGGGTGGGTGTCCCTCTGGGAGGGCAGGAGGGGCCATGGTTGGGGTCCCAGGTGGGAACACAGCTGTGTCCCGGGGATAGGGCAGAATGGGAGGTAGGCCAGGGCGGTCAGTGGGAGCTCTGGGGCAGGGCTGGGCTTGGGTCTGAATCCCTGAGCAGGTGGTGTGTTGAACGTGAGGAAGGACACCCTCTGAGTGTGGCAGGAACCGCCACAGTTGCCAACCCGACAGGGATAACGGGTCCTTTGGGTTAGAACCTGGGCTCGAATTCCATCTCGCAGACCTACCAGCCGTGTGCCCTTCGGCAAGTTACAGTGCCTTTCGAGAACTTGGGTCTGAGAACGGGGTGACAGCAGATCCTCTGCTGGATGGAAACTCCCGGCGCGGGGTCGGGTAGGTGCATTATTCCTTAGAATATTAAATTTCCTTTTTTTTCTTTTTTCCTACCAAAGGAAGACTAGACCTATTTCCTGCCCACGAAGTACTTTTCTATCCATATACCACAAGGCCCAAGGATGAAATACTTCCCCACCTACTTGGCTTCTCACAGGCCCTTCCTCACTCCGTGACCCACGGCTGGGAGCACAAGCAGCTTCCTTCCTCGCTTTTTCCCCTGCTGGGTGGTCAGAGGACGTGGGCTGCAGGAGTCCGAGTCAGGCAGGGGGAGGTCAGGGCCCTCAGGTGGAGAGGAAACCAGAGGAGAGCTTTGCTGGGCGGGCCACGGCGGGCATGGAAGGCCTGGTGTGCGTGCGGCGGGAAAGTCGCAGGAAGCCCCAAGAGGCCCATGCACTTGTCCTTGGCCACTTGGTGATGCTTTCTGAGCGGGAAACGGCAGAGGGGTCTGGCTTTATTCCCCGGACCCAAACCAGGGGAGCCCACGTCCTCATCGTGAGTCGGCAGCATCCCAGGGACTCAGGAGATGAACTTCGCCTTTCCTCTTTGGTGCCCCGTCTGGAAGGCCAGCCCTCGTCCCACACCCGCCCTGTGGACAGGAGGAAGGGCTGCCCACACCACAGGGTCTCCCGGCTCCTCCGCTGTCTGCAGCTAACATCGCGACAGTGGGTTAAGCCAAGAGGCCACCGTGATCAACAGGGAAAGGATGATGTTGCCTCGGGGGTGGTTCGTGAGCAGAGTTAGAGCCGTGTTGCTTTGATGTCCCATCCAGTCTAGGGATGGTCTCCTTTGTACTCCAGTTGCTGCCTGAAGAAAGCAGCCTTTGTTGCTTGTTGTAGGATCTGGAGTCAGGTCGGTAAGGGGACTTGGGATGGGTGGTCTGGAAGTGGATCTCAGAATGGTATGATTAATACCTTGCCAGTTCCTGAGAGTTGATGTTTTGGGAGAGAGCGCTTTTCTTCATTATCACATGTGCTGAAGATAGAAGGGAAGGGCCCTGGGGAATTTTCTAGGGTGCTGGAAATGCTCCGTATCTTGCTTGGGGTTTGCATTACATAGGTCATCTGTCAAAACTCATTGGATGGTAGACTTATCGTTTGTGCATTTCACTGTTTATGGATTTTTATCTTGGAAAAAATAACTATAAGCAAATCATGAACTCTTAGTGATTTACAGGCTGACGTGCTTAGGGATGAGGTGGACTGCTGTCTGCACCTTGCTTTAAAATGCATCAAAACTAAGATGGGTTGTTGGATTGATTGACAGCAGAATGTTCACGATTGTAGAATGGGGGTGGGGGGAATATGGGTGTTTCTCCTATGTGATTCTTTCAACCTCTCTTCTTGTTTGAACATTTCGTAATAAAATGCTGAATCAGAAGAACTGCAATAACTACTACTTTGGTTCTCTAGAGCTTTCCATAAACGAATTCCCGAGACAGCTAGGTTTCCTGGCTGACACCCTACTCTTCCTACAGACGGCCTCACCTACTTTCCCAGGGAGTGTTGGTGAAGCGAATTGAGGGCCCTTGGCTTTGTGTGCTCTCTGCGAGGCTGGTGTGGTCAGTGTGGGTGCATTTCACAAACCAGGTGTTAGCTTGGACCTCCTTGAGGGTGATTCAGTCCACCACCTTGAATCAATAGAACTCTGAAACACAGGGCTTCCTACCCTATAGGCTGGGGATTCGCAGCCTGAGAACAGCCTGACCCATGGGAACCAGAGTTAGAAGAGGGTGCCTGAGCCCCCTCTGACCAAGAACGCAAGCTGGTTTACCCGCTGGACGCTGGGGGGGAGCTAGGGTGTGTGTGTTCAAAAATCTTAGCATTATACAATATATTTAAACATATTCAGACGCTTTTTTGACACTAGACTTTTTTTTCAGCTATAAAGTAACGCCTGCTCTTGTAAGAATTGTTTTTTTAATAGAGAAAAGGCAAAGAAGTAAAACCAACCATAATTTTATAACCTCAAGAAACCACTCTATATTTTGGTATATTTACTCCCTGAATTTTTTTTTTAAATCTCATGCATTGTTTCTATAATAGTGATGTTTTTCATTTGAGGCTAATGGAGGAGTTCTTTGGGAGGGAGGCCCCAAGGCCCTCCCTCCTGTGGACTGGCCCAGAGCCTGGTTCACTGCCGCAGAGATTCTGGGTTGGTCTGGACAGAGGGACTTCCGGCTTACTCACAGGGTCCGATGCTGGGAGGGCCCGAACTTCTTCAGGAGCCCAGTGGAAGCACCTTCTAGCCAAATGTAGCAGCACCATTGCATCCGTGTCCGTGTATGCCTGCTCATTGAGCGCTTACGAGTGAAGTGGACAGCAGGGAGTTCCGATGATCTGCCCTAGTCACACAGCCAGCAGATTGTGGCGTTCTAGTTCAAGAACGGGCCCTCCGATCGGCAGTTTGGGGCGGAGGCGACCAATTCTGGAAGTTGGTGGTTTGCTGAGCAGCCTTTACGGCCGCTCCTGGGAACACGCAGGGCAGGTGGAATGAACCTCTTTTTCCGAATTGAGAACTGATGCTCAGAGAAGTTACCAGGTTAACTCACACCACGTGGGAAGCGGGTGGGTGGGAGGCTAAAGGTTAGAGCCTGTTCCATCATGTTGTCTTCAGAGCTGGAGAGCGGAGCGGGAGGGAGGCCTGGGGACTTGAAGGGACAAAGGGTGGGTGTAGGATGCCCGGCTGGGGAGTCCGTGAGCAAAGGCTAAGAGCCGGGCACCAGCGGGGCTTGTGTGGAGGTGAGGGGCAGGGAAAACACTGTCTTTGCGGTCTGACAGACCTGGGGCTGGGGGCCTGATACTTTTGCAAAAAGTGAGGATAGTCAACCCAATTGGTTCCCATCGAGAATTGGAGGAAACAGTGTTGAAATTGCCCGACCTGCGTGCTTGGCATATTGGAATCACGGGGCAGTTTTTTGAACGTCGTCTGATAAACGGTGGGAGCCTTTGAAAGGCTTTGGGCTGGGAAGGAGGCTGACAAGGCAGAGATTTTCTGAATATCATGCTCGTGTGGAGGACAGTGGTGGCGGGGGGGTGGCTGAAGACCGGCCTGGTGGAGAGGGAGAGAGATCTCAAAGGAGCAATCCACAAGATTTGGTGATGGGCCAGTTATGGGGAGGGATAGGCATCTCACTTTGTTCACTGGCTTTTTTATGACTCACTGGCATGTTCTTGCCTTTCAGGAGCCTGTGTGAAATGCAGCAAAGGGGTGTTTGGGGCCGGCCAGGCCTGCCAGGCCATGGGGAATCTCTACCACGACGCATGCTTCACCTGTGCGGCTTGTGGTAAGTGTATGTGGAGGCTCGGTGTGTGTGTGTGGGGGGGGTCCTAGGAACATGGGGACCGAGAAAGGGAGGACAGGGAAGAGCATCCTTCCTGGAGACACTTGACCCAGGCCTCCCGTGGTCCCACAGCAGGGCAGGTCCGTGTCCTTTAGAGTCGCAGCACAGGGCCCGTCAGAGGAAGGGGACTGACCAGAGTACCAGCGATTGTCTGGGGCCGACCTTGGTAATGAGTTGAGTGGGTTCAAAGCAAACTGTAATAACATCAGGTTTGTTAATGCGTATCCGAGGTCTCAGCAGGGTTGTGGGGGAGAGAGCATTGGGATTCACCACCATCTGCCCTATTGTCAGTTACCTCCCCCACCGTGGGACCAGCCAACCCAGCGTTACTAACGGGGGCCCTGTTATCACTCTGTGACCCCGCTCTGATTTGGAGGCTGCTCTGTGCGTGTGAAGTGTGAGTGTGTGCATGAATGCCCGTGTGTGCACACCACAGAGCTGTCCGGGCCTGTGAGCACGCTCAGCGGGCATCTCTATCCTGTACACGCGCAGTAACTAAAGCAGCAAATTAGGAGCCTGAGCTCAGCCTGTGCCCAGCCCTGCAAACTGCTCGTTGAATTGACGGCAACCACCGTGGAAGATTCTAACGCGTTGCCGGATGTTTGTCGAGTCTGACCGAGTCGGGAATTGAGCTTGGCTTATGGTCTCTACCAGAGATTAATTTCGAGGAGCTTTTTTAAGAGAATGTCCTGCTGATTTCTGCGGTTCCAGATTGAGGCTCGCGGCTATTGATTCAAAGGAAACATTACAACAAAGCCAGAGTGTCATCAGGGACAAGGGGTCTTGTTATCTGGCCCCAGGGTTCTCGATCCTGGCCGTTCATTAGAATCCCCTCAGGGATTATTATAAGAGCCCGCGATGCCCCAGTCCCACCCCGACCAGCAGAATCGGAAGCTCTAGGGGTGGAATTTCTAGAGTGCGCAAGAGTACTGTTCATATCTCCTCAAGTGACTCCAGGCCTGAGCTCCTGGCTCAGTGCCAAGCCCTTCAGTGTAGACGCCTCTGGAGAAAGGAGGAGGGAGAGATTTGCTTTCCGCTGTTTTGTGGCACAGCCGGGAGCCTCCTGATTCCCAGGGTAAAAGTAACGAGGTGGGCATGGAGCTGCCCCCCAGCCTGCCCAGCAGTGACTGCTAGGCCTATGCCCGGGTTCAAAACCTCCTCCTTCCGTCCTCACTGCGATTTCCCATAAACGCGTGTCCGAGAGTTGATGGCTGGTACGCCGATCGTTACTCACCTCTGTAGGGAAAATTGTGAAAGCCTTTGAAATGGGTCAAAAGTCTGCTGAGCATCCTCAGCGGACATGTTGGCGTTGTCTGGGGTTTGGTTTCTCCGGGCCCCTGGCTTCTCCTTGTCTCTGAGCCATGTGGGTTTTACCATCCTGATAGCAGACCATACACGATGCTCGTCCCTAACAGTGCACACCGTGCCTGCTGGTGATGCAGCTGACTGCGGCCCTGGGGAGACTGCTTTTGCTTCAACTAAAAGTGAACTTATTTCAGCACTTCCAGTGCCTTCACAGCCGGGGTTCTTTGCACTATCCCCGTGGTCATGTCTTACTGGTTCCCGCCTTAGCTTGACGAGTGATGTTAAATCTTTTTTTTTTTTTTAAAGATTTATTTATTTATTTATTTATTTGAGAGAGAGAGAATGAGAGACAGAGAGCATGAGAGGGAGGAGGGTCAGAGGGAGAAGCAGACTCCCTGCCGAGCAGGGAGCCTGATGCGGGACTCGATCCCGGGACTCCAGGATCATGACCTGAGCCGAAGGCAGTCGCTCAACCAACTGAGCCACCCAGGCGCCCTGATGTTAAATCTTTGACCATGTTGTCTGAGTCTTAACTGTGCAAGAGTTGTGATCCTTCTTCTTTCTAGGAAATTATCTTTCCTTTTTGGCTCCCGCAACTGTTTCTCAATATCTGCTGTTTTCCAGGGAAAAAGAAAATATTATGTAGAAGCTGGTTTTCATCTCGAGCAATTGCCACTTGAACTAAGAAAGTTTTTCAGGGGTGGGGGGAGTACCGGTGAGTCCGTCAGCGCATGACTAACTATCAGTTCCATAATGGGTTGAATTTATCTTCAAATGATGACAAACACAGGCACTTAAGGAAAACACAGCTGGTTGGGGGTTTTCTTGGTCTAGCATCTAAGCCCTTGTGTTCTGCTTTCTGTCGTAATGCTTCCTATAATTTGTCACAAACTGAACTCTCTTTTCCGCCTCTATATCTCTGATCACACTGCCCCCTAGAATCTGCTCTCCCCGCTCACTTCATACATTTAAGTTCTGTCCAGCCGTTAGGGCCCAGCTCAAAGGCTGACTCTTCCAGGAAGCCTTCCCTGTTCTCCTAGCAGGAAGAAATGGCTTTGTCTTGAATTCGGCAGGCCCCGATGGCTGTCACGTAGACTGTGAACCACACTCTCTGGGGCGTGGGTGCCGGCAGGCCAGGCCCTAGAACAAAAGCTGCTGTAGGAATGAGGACAGAGACTCCATTCGAAAGTGCGTGCTGCACATTCCTGTTCCCCAAGGGGCCTGCACCACTCCTGTTGTGGGTAAACACACAGCTTCCTTTGCACTTGTCAGGGGCAGTTGGAGACGCAGGCAGTTGTCTGAGCAGCTTCTGTTGGGCACTCGAAGTAATGTGCCTTTGTGCCTTTGTTCTGTTGACTTCTTGCTGCCCTGTAACTCCCTTCAGCAGAAGGAGGCACCTGGGCCCTCCATGTCCTGGTCTGGCAGGTCCTCAAGTGTGTCTGTGAACACAGGCGCCGTGCAGACAGCACTTCTGGGGCCGGGCCCGTTCCCTCCTTTGTTGGCAGAAGAAAAAAAATGGGGGCCCAAGGAGGGGAAGAGAATTTCTTAAGATAAGACCTAGTGATGGGGCCAGCACCAGAATCCAAGGCTCCTGGATCTGATTAGCTTTGCATAGCCCCGTTTTTCTGGTCGGTGAGTGTATCTGTTAGTGAGCGTGTAGGTGTGTGTGTTTTCTGTTTTCCCATTTTGTTATGAAAATGATCCAGCTTACACCACCACAGAAATAGATTTCTATACGTACACACTCACTCCTTGGATGTTACTGTTGCTTTATGGAAACAGAATGTCGGGGTCCTGTCTAGGACATGCCAAAGGGGCACCCAGCTCCCCTGGGTCCTTATCCCACACACCGAAAAGGAGGACACTGAAACAAAAAGGTCTAGAAGGCTGCGGTGGGAGTCATGGATGCCAGCAGCCAGTGCCGAGGTGCGGTGCTGTGCTGGGGGGAGGCAGAGAGCCCACCTCATCCGATGAGACCGTCTGGCCTGGGACAGCTCCCAGGGGGAGCCACAGGGGCTAGTGGGAGATGCTCCTCCGGAGGCTTCCCTGCAGCCTCCCACACCCTGTGTCCTGGGAGGACCGTAAGGTGTTCCAGTCCTCACACAAACCCATGCCTCCATGGATGGTGCAAGTTCTCCAGGGCCCCATGCGTTTCCCTGCCCCCTGGCAAGAAGCAACCACGTTCTGTTGAGCTGTGGGAACAACAGGACAGACCACAGAGGGAAGTTCAGGGGCAGGGTCCTAGTATGTGATTCCAGGACAGATGTTTTTACTCGTACGTTTTTCCTTCCAGGTTTTGCCCAAATGTACACGCAGGTTTTTTTTTTTTTTTTTTTTTTTTAAGATTTTATTTATTTGCGAGAGAGAGAATGAGAGACAGAGAGCATGAGAGGGAGGAGGGTCAGAGGGAGAAGCAGACTCCCTGCCAAGCAGGGAGCCCGATGCGGGACTCGATCCCGGGACTCCAGGATCATGACCTGAGCCAAAGGCAGTCGCACAACCAACTGAGCCACCCAGGCGCCCCATAGACAGTTTTTGAATTGGGTTTATTTATTTTTTTTTTTAAGATTTTATTTATTATTTGAGAGAGAGAATGAGAGAGGGCATGAGAGGGGAGAGGGGCAGAGGGAGAAGCAGACTCCCTGCCGAGCAGGGAGCCCGATGTGGGACTCGATCCCAGGACCCCGGGATCATGACCTGAGCCGAAGGCAGTCGCTCAACCAACTGAGCCACCCAGGCGCCCTGTACGCGCAGTTTTTAGAGCTGGGATCGTGGCGTATAAATGATGTTCTGTCCTTTCTGATGAAACCTGCCGCGAACTCATCCTTACTTCCGCAGCCTCCAGACTGGTGGTCTGAGCGGTCACAGAGGAATCGACTGCTTTGTGCCACCGTGTTATGGCCTGTGGCTCGGGTGGCGCTTGCTGGTTGTTACATGGAGCCCGCCCCCCTGCCCGAACGTCTTTGTTCCCCTGCATCCTTTTTCCCTCTGCCAAATGGTCTCCTTGGTGCTCGTCCCAGAAGGACGCATGCAGGGTGCAGCGTGGGGGCGTTTGTGTGGTTTGTTAAAGTCCCTCCTTTCTCCGCGGCTCCTTGGGCGGCCAGTGTGTGTGGTTGCCATGGAGATGTGTGCTGGGGGGGGGGTCTCCCTTCCCCGGCTGCTTCTGCCCACCCCAGTGGCAGTGCCCTCAGCTGGGGCCCTCAGGAAGCCGTTGGCACAGCGTGGAGCAGGAGGAGGGTCAGTGCAGAGGGCAGGCCCAACCTTGGCATTCGGCCACACTCCGGGTCTGACGCTGCGTGTCAGGTGGCCTGAGGAGACGCTTGTGCCCAGCTGTGGCTGAGAGAGGTGCAACAAGGAGGAAGAAGAGGTGTGGGTCAAGGGCCCTCCTCAGCATCTTCCAGAACAGACCGTGAGGGAGAGGCCCGTGTCCTTGCTTGAGGCAGTTTTGGGTCTGAAACGTCAGATTTAGTTCATTTGGCAAAGACGGAACAACTCCCATCCTGGAGTCCAGGTGAAACCTGGTCGCCATGTCCATGTTCATGGTTGTCGTGATTTTTTTTTTTTTTGTCTGCATGAGTTGGGGACGATGGAGCAGATAGGAGAGGCCACATGCCCTCCTGCCCTGAAGCCCCCAGAAC